TGAAACCACGGGCACAGCCAGTATTCAATATTTTATTTACATTAAGATTCATGTTACGTAAGTTGTTCATCCGCAGCGCTACTACAAAGTCTTCTGCTTCTTCCCTATCCCATTTATTTGGGGTCGGGTGAACATGTTTTTCTCTTCCAGTATTCCATAGTATCATGTAAAATTTAATTACGAACTGCTTAGTCCCGTCAAGGGCAATTTCTGGTGAATTCGCCGCGATAACTCACTTGACTTCATGTTCGTCCTATCATCATTCACTAACATCCTTCACATCATTACCGCAGGCAGTAGGTACCAGCATACCCTTTTCCACCATACCCTATTAGTATGGATATCTATTATTTTTAGAAACCAGGTAAGTTTTACGTACACAGCAAACATTAATTGTATACAGTGTTCCGTTTAGATGTCACGACTGTAGTAAACTAACTATAGATAATATACAGAGTCAACATTTAACATTAATATTTTAGTTATTATGCTATATCTGATAATAGATCAATGAACAAAAATACGTGAACAACGTCATAGGGGGAATAGAAATCACTAAAACGGAAACAACTACATATTTAGGATCAAACATTGTGCTCTCTTCAGTAATTGATGAATGGATATATAATTACTATAACCTCTTGAAATGCCCACATTTCGCTGTATGTATTTGAAACCAACGTGGCAAGGGCACACCTACCGGCCCATTTACCGCAAAGGAAGTCATAAATATAAATTCACAGACATTTTTTTTGTTATCAGCCAGATTTGACTCACTGCTTCTTAGGTTTACTCAAAGTATCCACTACGCCACGACGGTTTCGTAGTATAAATTCTTATAAACTTTTAAAATAAATTTAGATAGCTACCATGAATATTGGATTCCTGGTGCTAACGATACTTTATAAACTTTTAACATCATATATACGTAGACATATTTAGCTGTGAATGACATTCCATGGCCGGCATGTCAGTGTCGGCCGTCAGTTGCGGTTAGTGACAATATTATTACACAGCGCTACACGTTTTTATGTAATTAGGTATACATTATTTATATCCAGCAAGCGATCATTAACCGAAGATCTCGCATCAGTGCCGAACTGCCACTGCTTTCTACACGCAGTTTTATTTACAAACGATATAATATCACAACCAGTAATATTGCTATTACGTTGTCATAAACACGTAATACAACCATCTCATTACACGGCGAGATGAGCACGCAGAGAGAAATCGCATCGTGTTTGAATTGTCTTTTACGACACGTATGATACATAGGTAACTTAACACAAAAGACACGGAATACAAAGGAATAAATTAAAATTTCTTTTGTGAAAATAACTAAAATGTTCAAGTCGAGCAGCCCAGCCTTATTTGCATTCACTGAACATGCTGCATCGTGGAAAGAGTGCTTCCCAACCAGTAGAACGGACTTCGGGCTTAGGGCTCTCAAGCGGCGATCGACGCGGTCTCGGAATAATCAGCCGCGCCGCCCCTCGTCGCGGTCGTTCACACAAAATCGACGCGGCAAGCGCCATCGGACCCTACCCTACCTACGCACGAGTCGACACAAAGCATCCACCCGTATTCAAGTCAGATATCCCCCGCTGGACTACTTCAGGATTCGCTTTCATCGGGACATATACAAAGATTGTCAACTTTATATGCCCCGCAGTAAAGTTCACTATGACTCAGTGTGGATGAATGAGAGATGCATCCGCTCCGAACGCAACTGAATATCAAACTAGATGCAAAGTAATAAAGCACAATATTTTATGGCTGCAAGTGGCGGCCTGCGTGGACAACACATTCGATAGCTGAGAACAAGAAAATTGAAAATCGCTCGTATGTCGTTGGCGCTGAATCGAATTCACGCCGGTGGAGGATACCTACACCACGTGTTTACATACGCCAACTGGTGCAGATTAGAACAGTGGACTGCCTAACTTTTAACACACATGTTGCAAAGTTTTAAATGTCACGTACCGTTATGTTGACAAACCGATTTTCTTGAAACTGTATCACAAATCTAATTTCATCCTTATATGTACTAATGTGGTAATTTAACAAATACAAATTTTAAACTTTCATTGTCAATTTATTTTAAGTGTACGATATAATAAATGTGTCTAAATAAATCTAAAATTGTAAATAACTATACTATAACGAGATTAGATATAGAAACAATATTTATTCAAATAAACAGAAATTTAAGTATTTTTTGGTAACATTTCTTTTATTCTACTATGTCAAATATAGATAACCAATTAATAATAATCCGCAATAGTGCTAAATTCAATGGCTCCGATTAATATTAAAGACTTGCTAGTTTTTTTTACTATTTAAAAAAGTAAACTTTTTCATGTTGATTTACGTGGTAACTAAATATAGAGTAACTATTCTCGCTCTTCTTACACATATGTACATATTATTTATAATATGTAAATACGATCAAGATCAATATACTTATTCATTCTTGTCCAACTTACCAAAGAATAATATTATTAGAAGGATCATTTTGTAATATTTCGTGGAACTTTTTACTGGGTTTCTTTCGTATACATAACAACCTGTGCTTGCATTAGCTCGAACTTTTTCTACAGGTATAAAACGAAATGTTTAATAAAAGGAGGAATAGTGGATCGGGTTTGTATGAACTGCAATCAAACTGAGATGCCTTGGGGGTTTATTCAAATCGTGAAAGGATTTGTAACAGTTTAATAGGTCTCTCGGGCAGATCGCGTAATTTTAATTGACAACGTTTTCATTAGAGATGAGTTTTTATAACCCTATTTTAATTGATGTAAAGGCGTTCTTAGATGTTCTAGTGTTTTGATTATGTTGCAATTGTTTCTTATTTTAATATTAAAGTTAACTTATGTTTTATATTTATGTATGATAAATTTGCCAGGTATACTATACATAGTTAAGTATAGGCTTAATTTTGCCAAGTAGGTAGATTCATATTACAATGGGAAGCAATGTGAAGTCCATTCGAACGTCATTAATAAAAAACCAATATGAATATAATAGTAATATTAAAACGAGTACTATCTAAAAATAAATAATTATTTGTCTTCAGAGTTTTTATACAATGTCAAGCCTTATCAATGTCGGTCACTTGTATGAAAAACATTTACACATTAGTAAGTAACTTTAAAGGGATCTGATCTGTGTTTATTTATTATTCTGCTTACTACTTCAATATTGTGCTCAAAAGCATCGTTTACGTTTGTACTCTGACTCGCCTATTTCTTACGTTCAACAGCTTGCTTTGTGAGCTGTTACTCTTGGAAGGGTGAGATATAGTAGTGACATTACAGATTACGGAGGCATGACACCTTAGTTGTCAGGAATAGCAACATATAATAATAATACCTCTGGACAATTCACACAAAGCCATCTAGTTCCAAGGAAAGCAGAACTTGTGTTATGGATACTACACAATTGATATAAATACTTACATATTTTTTATACGCTTACACAAAATACATAGAAAATATCCAGACAGATACAATCAATCATACTCATGAATACAAATGTTTCTACCGAGCGATGAATCGAACCCGCGACCATCGGAAATAAAGCGGTGTGTTGACCCGCTAGACCACCGACACCGTCATACTTTACTTTATCTACTAGGGTCACATGACGACGTAATATTCGCCGCGGTTGTTTATGTATAAGTACTGGCGACGGTTGCCAGTTTCCATCAGATGGGCCGGCAGCTTGTTTGTCATTTCAGTTATATAAAAAAAACATTCAGTGCAATGACTGGAGCGTCCCCTCCAGATACAAATATCATATATTTGAGTACAGTACAAATCGCATAGTGTCTATGAGATCTAATTTAACATAAGGATTGTGGAAAATAATTTTAAACCTTGCTCCAAACATATTATGGACTACTACTTATATTGTTGTTGCTGTTGCTTTATATTTATGAAATGCTGTCTTTATGTATATGTAGATTGTTATTTCATAATTGATCAATATTGGTTGATTTTATAAATATGCAGTTGATATCCACAACTAGACTAGATTGGTACCTAATTGAATACCACACATGTTTTAGTGCAAATAAGGCTGCAATATATTTGATAAGATTTGTAAAGAAATTACTTCTGTATGTCAGGGCTATACAGTATACAGTAATACAGTACTGCAACCCAGGTTGTAATGGTGTACATATATTACTAGAGTTGTGGTTGCTGAAGCATGTTCAAATTTATTTCTTATTATTAATTGTCACAATATTGATTCTTTAACAAAATTATTATTATATTCTCAAAGGCAGAATGGAAAATTAATTAATTACTGTTATGAGAATGAAAGAGGAAAACATGGAATGAAGGCAAACCCATAGTAATATAGTTTATTCAGTTTATTTCTCGATTACTGAATTTGTATTCTGTAGTTCTAAATTCTAAAACTAACATAATCTATTATCCCCACATATATCAATTTGAAGGTCAATTCAGTTGAATTGATTTAAAATAAATAATACTTTATTTTCCATTATATTCTATTCTTAATGTTAAACTTAGTAAATACAGAAAACCATAAATCACAATTTCTTTTAAATCCAAGGAAAATTGTTGCAGGTACTTTGCTAGGTAGCAAGGTAGCTACCTAGCAAGGTAGCCTATCTGGCAGTCATTATTTGGTTTAAGGTCTATGGTATACAATATAACTTAACTTTTTAAACTCATCTTGAGAACATTTACAGCAGCTAATTTAACTTACCTACCTACCTACCTACATTTAGTAAAACCTAAAATTGATTTACCTAGTAACCAAACGATATGTAGGTAATATATCCTAGTTACCATGGTGTAATACCTGTAACAGTTTTGTTATGATGAAGTCTGTTGCTATGCTCCAGAGACTAAGAAATGTATTTTGAACTACAAATTCCATTGCACCTGCCTAATATTATTATAATCAATTGGGCGGTAGGAACACCTAAAAAAGCATGAGTAATTAATTATAGAACTCACCATACGACACCGAAGGCGCCGTAGCCAATGGGGCGGTCGGGCTGAACGTCCGTTGGGATGGCCGGCGTCTGGTAATAGGGCGCCGCCGCCGCCAGGATGGCGCCCTGCGGCGCACTCTGCGTACCGCCCTGCATCAGCGACATGGACACACTCATGGAGACGCGAGAGTGCCGCGCGGGGCCACTTACAGCCGCCATCCAACCGCTCCGCGGCAAGCCGTCACCGTAGATTCATCACACGAAGAATCCCACAACCTGGACACTGTGCTCGATCACCAGACCTCTCCTTCCAGTGGACACACGATAATATCACCGGTTACTTCTTTATTATTCATGCTCAATCGACTATGCGGGAATCACTGAACGAACGCACACTACACGAAACAACCACTTGGAATTAATTTCACAAGTTTATAGTAAGTTGGAATTTTGAGTTGAAAATGTAATCAGTAAATTGTTTGTCTTCGAGCCCAGTTTTTTTTCTTGCACAAAGAATTAAACCGTAAATTATTTCTCCGCCACACGAAATGCGTCCGTAAGCCACGACAATCGAGCGAAACTGGGAGCAGGAGGGAGGGAAGCGGAAAGAGGCGAGGAGGTGAGACGCGGTGAAAGAGTGAGATAGCAAACAACAATGGCGACGACGCGGTAAACAGCTGCTAACGGCAACGCTTGGCTTTGGCTTCGTTACTTTGGTGACACTAAACATGACTTTTTTTTAGAATATTTTAAGCAAAGAAATAAAATTTTGGAAAGTTTTATGTTTTATAATTACAATAGATCTACATCTACGTACCTGAATAATTAATTAGTGTCATAACCAATATAAAAAAATTGTACAAAAGAGTACTACTACATCTTGTTAAAGTTTTGCCCGCCAATAATTAACTAAATATTTTTTTATTAAAAATTATTATAGTCTTCATTCATTCATTCATAATTTGAGAGCTACGCCCTTGTCGGTGGAGCTCTTGCCATTAGTTATATTATAGTCTTATTATACTCTCCTAAACACCATATCCAATATGTCGAATTGTCCGATCCAGAGACACTGGGTATCGCTGCACTGCTGCAGACCCAGTGCTTCTGAACATGGAAATAGGCATAAATATATGAATTTAATGAATAAAATTGTTTTGAATTAAATTTACTAACATATTTTATAACTTGTTTACTAACATAATATGGATAAATATCCGAAATAAATGAATAAATAAAAAATAAAAATATATATATAGTCTACTTCTGTTATATTTTTTTAAAAAACGGCACTTTAATAATATAATATAAACTGTATACAGTTTCTTTTAAAGTATTACAGGTTGCTTGCAACTCTTATAACACATAGTTGTAAACGTAGTTGTTGTGTGACATAATTAAATTACACGTGATGGCAAGTACAACAAATACTATTACCTACGTTTTTGAAATTACTAAAAATGAGCAAAGAAAGGTAGTAGCAAGTAGCAGGTATAAGTAAAGACCTTTACGATTTATCGAACAATAATGTAAGCTAATGTAGACGACACTCCAAACCCGAAGATGGATTACTATATGGCAGAAAGCAACTCCTTAAGGACCCGATTTAAGCGCTAGGCGTTGAAAACTCGGCTCTAACTATTCTAATTTCAATTGAATGTGAAAATGGGACGAGAACCCAACGGAATTCTTGATCATTCCCAAAAATATCGTAACTGGTTAAATTATTTATTTGGGAAAAGTGCCTTCTCTATTGCAATTATCAAAAGATATAGGCAGTTCTTCTTTTCTTAGAGATAGTTTTTTTATGGATGATAATGGAATGGTGTACCATATGAAGACTTACCAATTTGTTCGAGTATTTTTTTATAATCGAATACCTACAGTCGAGTCAGCTAGCCCAATTTTTCCACGGGGAACATGAAAGTCGCCCTGATTATTTTTCATTACTAACAATCCCTTCTTCTCTATCTCGGGATTAAATAGTATTTACGTACGTATCAACACCATTTTAAAGCTATGCCTGTTCATTACTAGATATAATATTCTTTTAGCGGAGTACCTACATACTGACGAATTCCATTACTATGGTAAATCGAGTCATTTTCTGTAAGCTATTTTAATTTATTAATTCATTATTTATTGTGTCTAAATATTATTATGTTGGTGTTAATATAGACTTTTGTACTGCCTTCAACTCTATTCCCAGGATGCCAGTAGTCTCAAACTTTTTAAAATTCTACCCTTCCAGCATGACTATTATGGAGGACCAAGTGAAAATGCAATTTCACTGACATACGTACATATTCTATGTGGCATCTTTATTTTCCACATTTAGCCGTAGCGCATTTGGGCCATTGTGCGTGTAAAATTTTCTAAAATTGTTTGTCACTGCCATATCACAGTTCAATAGAAACAGCTTACAATATAAACTGTTCGTACCAGTCAAACAAGGTCGGTTCAGAAATTTATTGCGTAACAAAACTTCAGAAAACTTTTGAAATATTATTTAATTTTATTCGCGGGATCAGTTAGTATATAATATTAATAGGATAGGATTAAAATTAGTCGTAGTTGTGAAATAAAACACACTAATAATAAATATCAATTACTTTATCACAGAGAATCACATTGTGTTATACAACATTTTACGTGGCCAGTACAAAATTACAATGATTTATATTTATGTGTATACTTTATTATTAAACACTTAAAGGATATTTTAATAAAACCGAACACTACTACAAAATACCATGTTTATTCAACACTCTAGAGTTTATAAGATGCCTATATTGAAATAAAGGTACGACTTTTAAAAGAAGTTTAACGAAACGATAACAAAATATAAATTTTCTTATTCTAATCAACTATTTGCATGATAGGAAAAAATAACTAAATACAAAACAAAGAACTAAATAAAAATATATAAAACATTAATTTGTATAGGCTGTAACGGAAATTATATAACGAGACAAAATTCAGCTGTAGTAATGATGAAACTGATCAAGTTTTAATTTATTAAGTTACTAATACAAACATACATACTCAAGAATACAAAATATTTGTATCGTACTGGGAATCGAACCCGCGACCATCGGAAATTAATTTGTGTGCTATACCGCTATACCAACGAGGTCGTCAACACAAATATTATAACTGCCTTTTGACAAGTTATACTTCTTCCGTTATACCTTACACTATATAATTATATAACAGTGAACATCGTTTAAATGTACATTTTTAATGAGCATGATTATATGTATATAAGTACCTACTATATACAACAACAAAAATTTAAGTATTTGTATCATAATATGCAGATTGGAGAAATTAAAGCGCCGTCGTATTAATGTAATGTAATAGTGGAGGTTTACTTATATAGACAATAATACATATACTATTAAATTTCAGTCGCTAAGTTATTTTTTAACTTTATTATCTTCAGATTTTATACCAGGAAAATAAATTAATTTTTTGATATAAGAAAGATCAGTTGTTTTATCAAAACCACAATTTTTCTAATTACACATTATTAAATACAGCTAAAATTCTACACTTTTATTTAATCTATTACAAAATTTCATCAAACTATATCGTCAGAAAGGAATCATAAAGTCAAAGGTATTCTGTACATAAACGGGTAAATAAATAAATGAATATTAATTATTGTCTATTATACACCTAATGTTAAGTTGGACTGAATTGAATCGTGCAAAATTCGTTATTTATATCAATTAAAAAATACGTATCATACGTACTAATTATGTACAAAGAGATCTCTAATTTTAAAAACGTTTAGTTACGCCTTTTCAACAAAAATAAGGTTTTTATGTTTTAGGCCAATTTTTATAGAACATAAAATAGTATTTAAAAAATCTTTGAAGGTTTAATATAGAAAATGGTAAGTTACTCTCTGACCAGTTTCAGATTAAAACTTTCATTTGCGAAATATTTGGTAGTGTTGTCAGGCACAAGTATTATGTGATTGGATTACGGTCGTCAAATAAATGCTTATATGTGATTACCTACATATAAGTGTGCAATGTAATCGATTGAACAAATACTAATTTGGACATAATTTTTCGTTTTATTTTACTATGCTTGTTAAACAAACCGTGGCCTTTAATGACGACATTAGTTGAATGTAATCTCAACCAAAAATCTCACAATTAAAATTAATAAACGTTTCAATTTAAGTTTAATTTTAATTGGTTTAAGTCACAATTAAAATAAAGAAACATAAAACAATAATCAAAATATATTCTTTTGACAGACAGTCTTCTAGTTTTCCTGTTTAAATAAAATATTTTTATTATTTGGCAAGAGATGGAGCGTAAATCGGTTCCCAGTAAAAGCATGTTTTTATTACTTATATGTATTTAGTATCTACTAAAAAGTGTCTGAAATATCGTTAAAAATTACTTGTTAAAAATGTTCTAAGACACATTTATATTATTCATGTTCACAATAGGTCCCCACATTCACGTTCCATATACTACGATCTAAATTCTATATACATATTTTGCCACTGACAATTTCTCATTTGTTGCACATATAGTTTGTTTAAACGGTCTATACACGACTTAAATCAGGGGCAATAGAGGAACAATGGTATGAAGCGCCCTAGATTAAGTCGTATATTGCGAAATCAGAGCCGATTTTACAGTGTGCGATTTTACCCCCACTGCCAATTTTCCGATATTTCCCCTAATTTTAGTGTTGTGTGCATGCCATTTTAGTATAGTTAGCAGTCACTGCTCAGCCTCTTTCAGATCAGTTCATGTCTGTGAACCGGATGTAACTGTATTTACCACAGACAACGCGTTATCGTCGTCTACGTCGACGACTAAACAAGGTAAACAACAACTACAACGATTTATAAAAACGGAGCGCAGTCAAACGAGTACGTAGTTTGTTGTTTATAAATACGACTGCCATTATTTAGAACAAGAAAATCCTAATCAGGTGTATCATATTACACGCATTTGAAGTTATAAATCTTAAAAACCAAAACAATGATATAATTGAAAAATATTGCCTCAAGGTTGAATTTCCAAACCAAATAAAAAGCTGATCACACTAAGACTTTAGAATAAAGTCTAATTTCACAGACAATATAATAGAAAACATAGCAAATTTATAGAAAAGATTGTAAGTGGAATCTACATTCTCACAACAAACATACGCAATGTTTCAGAGTTGTAATAAAGAATAATGTATTGTTTTATTGGTTGTAAAATCCTATATGTAATGGATTAAAGTGTTATCAGTTGTCAAGTCACCTTGATTTGGCAGTAACTGAATGTGCACCTCATAGTCCACTAAGGTCAAACTTTTCAACATAACATTGTAGTGATCATTTACCTTATTTTAAGGTTTAAAATCCAATGAACTGGTGAGATAATACTGGATCCAATGTAAACGCATTACAACATGCATGTACCATCGGAATTATCCTGTATGACTCACAAAATCTGAATTCCCTGTAACCTTCATGATTTCTAAAATAATTAACAAATTGAGTATTATTATACTGCAACGGTTGATTGACTACGAGAGCTCGAAACCCGTGTTACTGTTGACTGCGTACCGAAGTTTGTCGCGTAGAGTGCTGCGTTTCTGATAGTTCGGCAGCTTGAGGAGGTTGAAGCATGTCGACGAAGTGGGCAGGCGGTTCAGTGGGTCCTTCTTCCTGATTGTGAAGAAGCCTCTGATTACGCTACCTGTAAACAAAAAAAACCTAAATTCCTTATTGAGTTCAAAACAATCAACTTGACTGTGCAATCAAGTATATTATAAAAATTTTTTGTCCTGTAATTTTCTGACCCCTTCTTGACCCAGCCTGGTCACACCTGGTCATAATTTTGAGATTTTACATATTTTACAATACACTAGTAAACTGTAGATAAAGTTGAAAATATTTTTAGGACTCTAAAATCACGAAACAATCCTGTCATGTTTTAATACTTAGATAGTTATGAAATTTAGCACCCCTTACGACCCATGTGACACCTTCTCGACCTATCGGGCCTTTACGTGGTGATTACCTGTTATGAATTAAAGTTATGGTAAAAGTAAAGTATCACAAGTTGTATGTAAGAATAAGTTATTGGCACTCAGTCTACTATACCGACACCATAACGAGTTGGCGTGATATGACCAAAAGACAATATACAACTATATTGACCTATAGTATCACCAGTGTCCTCATCATCGCCAACTTCAACACACCGTATTGAAAATGGTGGTTTTAGATGCGCGAACCCGAGAACTGGTGGCTTCGAACAAGACGTCACAAACTGCAAAAAAAAAAACAAATTACATTTTTAATTATTATAAAAATCATCGTGCTTATATATATTGAAAGGAAGAACTGCGAAGAATAAGTGAAGTGATACAATAGACAAAATGGTTCCATGTCCTCCTGATTGTTGCATGTTAACAATTTCTTTGATAACTTAAAAATAGGTACGAACCATCAAAGAACAACATAATATTGTAATATTATTCTGCTATTATGCTGTTATTACATAATACTGTAATGACAGCATAATAGCAGAATATTCATGACTTACAAGAAAATCGAAACGGTTTTTGAAATCAAGTCACTGAATAGTAATTTCATACTGGTAGTGGAATTTAAAATATATATAAAACTATTAGCTTTATACTTAAGCCTTTCACGCGCGATTTTGCGCAGAAAGCGTGACGCACAAGCGTGAATTTTCATTCAAAGCTCGCTGGCAGCATGTGCGGTCTTTCTCGTTCTCTTTATCTACATTTACATGTTCATCCCTCCTGCGTGAAAGCTGATTCGCGCATAAATGAGCGTACGTGTAAAGGCAGCATTAACCTTTAGGAACATGGCGCGCTCGTTCTCGGTGAAGTCACGTTGCAACACGTCCCATAGCCAGCAGACGACGCGATGCGAGTCATGGAAGCCGCCGTAGTACTGCGTATGGCGGCGAAGGTCGCGCAAGTCCAACGGCACGTTGTCGCCGCTGATCAACCGTTGCAACTACACGTAAATTAAGTTTGGTTGTATGAGTAGCTGGGAAACGCGGTGGAGTTCCGACAAATCTATATTATAATGTATACTACATAAAAGACCTTCATGAAGGAGAACTACTGGCCGAAGGGGGTGGTGTATCAGCGCTACCGTGACAGATTACCATCGTCAGTGCCGTGACCATTGAGAATTTGAATTTATATTTTATTATTATTTCTTATATATGTTAGTCTATAGGGTATTTATAATATAGGCCATGTAGCCTGAATGAAATTAATAAATAAAATAAACTAAATAGTTGGTTATGATGAATATATGTAGACAATACTATCAATAATATAACTTCTTGACTGTTATCCTAAATAGCTAAGTCAGCGGCACTGTCAATTGTCGACTTTGGGTAAATGAAACACTTGACTTTCAGTGTCTTTAATTAAATGCAAAGTGGCGAGATGTTGACCTGTACCTTTTCATAGATTTATGATTAATGAGGAGCAAGTAAATAATCGATACACAACTCGAATGAGAATGAAAGAGACCATGGCCTGGATATTTACGGTCAAAAATAAGTTATACCTATTAGAAATAAATGGTAGATATTTTTGATTTCTATTGTTTGTCGAAATGTAATAAACAATCATTGAATGTGGCTGAAATACTTGTATGTACAAATATCAATAGACATATTTTACATACATGGCTATCTATTACGTGACATCAACTCACCTCGGGCGTGGAAAACAGCGATAACCATTCTGGATTAATTATTGTTCTAAAGCCTTTTATGAACGCATTTGTTTGATCTTTAATTTGCGTGTGCATCCGGAAGTGTGCCATCAAGTGAATATAATTGATTCTGAAAAATAATAATAAGTTATTAACATATTATAAAAGCACCAAAATATATCACAAGCTAATAAAATTATAGTTACTGTGGAATTTTTATACATTATATTATAATATTCAATTAATATTTCTATCATAGTTAATACAATAAACCGCAAAAATATGTCCCATCTGACTTTTCTCTATCATTCAGTAAATTAATAATAACCACAGAGTACTTAAGTGAATCTTGTTGTTGATACAATGAATATAGACACTAAGAGTACGGCATAAACTTTGCAAGATACATACATATTTTTATATACGGAATAAATTTGATAAGCAAATATTTCAATTAACCGACAGTTTAAACCCAAATTAGATTCAATACAGTAATATATACTTACTTATTTTCGTTGGTTACTGGTATAGCTTTTCCTCCCGGCACTAACTCATGGGTCACGATTTCGCCCAATCTCTCTTCATCCACAGAAAATGTAAGTTCTAATGACGTAATGTCCCCCTGAAAAAGAACACAGCACATTGAACAATTATTCTTCAAACCGAAAAATAGGAGAGACAGAGATTGTTTGAGTCACCAGTGGAAGATGAAATCCGGTCAGTTAGCCCAATTTATGACAAATTCAGTAGGAATTGACTACAATGGATTCCATAGGAGGTCTCCATTAATAGCAATGGGATAATTGATCTCTATTACTAGCCATCCCCTTCTCTCTCCCACATAAAAGTAGGTAATATAAACAAATAAGTGTAAGTGAATAATATACAATTGAAGTAAAAAAACTAGTAAAAAAAATATCATAGGCATACTGATACGTCTCTTCCAGACAACTTTTGCATTGTAGGTTATCTTTCGAATTTCTATTAGTTTAAGCGGGAACATCTTGTTGAAAAAAAACATCAATCGAATTACATAACTACATCACATGCTAATATGTGAATAAGTGAGGTACCTGGAAGTGTTTGATATAGGTGAGACTGCGGTAGAGGTCGCGATCCAGCGAAGGTAGCTCGTCAATCCAGCTGTACAACGCTTGCTGCGTCTGCCCCAGTACTTGGCTCAGGAAGAATGATGCGAACGGCACATCCACCACTATACCCTGCATTATTCATTTAGTAGTTCAGAAATGATCAGTTTCTATGAAAATAATAAAAAAACATTTAGGTATATATATAAGCGTACACTTATATTGTGGAATGAACTCCCTGACGAGGTCTTCTCACGAGGCTACAACATGGGGTTTTCCAAGAAGGGTATATTAAGGGTCGACAACGCGCACGTGACACCTCTGGGGTCTCAGGCGTCTATAGACTACGGTTTACCATCAGACGGTCCTTGTTTGCCACAATCATAGTATAATGTATATATTTATTATAATCATCATAAACCTTCATGTTTCTTGACCTAGATAGAGTAGTCAGGGTTCCAGACTTTGGGAACACATTACTTGAATCGCTAACATGTCGCTCGGTATATTTGAATCCAACGTGACATCATCTTTTAGTTTGGTATGTTATCGCTTTTATAATTAGCCGAGAGTTAGTCAGAAATATAAATCAAGACTTTTCATGCCGGCTCGGCGCCCTTAATAGAAACAGGTTAACAGTGATCTGTCTAAAATTGGTGTTTCGTAACCTGTATGGTAGTAGTTCATCTCTAGATTGTATAACAATAATAAATAAATACAACCATGTTTCGTAAACAGTGTTTTTTTATTAAGGGAGTGATAGAAATATATATTTAATTTCCTAGAGGTCCATAGCTTACAATGTTGTAAGATATTTTTGTACATGATTATGAAAAAAATACCTCATAAACAGCTTTGCCGAGCATACGGCCAATGAACTCGAAGAGTTGGAGGTGATTCTCCTGGAGACAGGAAGTCGGCGACGGGTACAGTCGCTCTTCGCTCGTCACGCGGAACAGATTTAGCGATGGGTCGAATACACGTTTTATCGTTTCTTCTAAGAATTCTAAATAACACACAAACAATATCAGATGAATATTATTTACTCCTCAGTTTAGAGTTATATATTGTGTATGTAGCGCGGTGGTTATCACCTCACCACTGTATAATGTGATGAGGTGTCGCTAAATAATTTATTTATTTATCGTCGTATCTTTCGTATCGAGTAATTGTACATTAGTAAGTTTATTTGATAGCGTGCTATGTCATAATGTGGACTGACTGTACATTTAACTTAAATCTATATTATCCAGGTACTAATGGAAGAGTGTCGAATGCAGGCATATGTTCAAGACAAAGAGTCATAGAAGATCTCTATCTCTACCACTATGACTGTTTTTTTTTTCAAAACCTCAAAAGAGTATCATTACAGTCCCGTGATATGTACCTTTAAAAACGCCGTCCTGATCGATGCCCGCCTCATCGAGCCCCTGTTCGTTGATGAATCGAACCCGCACGACGGCTTTAAGTGCGCGCGAGGGCAGCGCGGCCAGCTGCCGGTAGCCGTCCTCGACGAGCCGCGCGCGCCGCACGGTCACGAGTGTGGAGCGGCCGCCCCCCGCCACGCCGCCGCCGCACGCGCGCTCCGTCAGACCCAGCACCACCTACCGACCGACACTATCATCCACCCCGATCGACCCCCGTCCAATTTAGACGGGGATCGAAATTACGACGACCTGAGCCGAGGTTCGAACTAGCGGTGGACACAGACTAAAATACGTCAGGCGGTTCGCCTTCACTCCATAAGTCCTTCCGCTGGTTTGGAGTGCCACCTGCACTCGCTCCTCCCTATCGTCCGGTGAAGCTGTAGCGGCCAGCTACGGCCAACACCATTAGAGTAGTCCGAAAAAAGTCTACCAACCACCTTTTTACATACAACATATTATATCATACATGTTGTCTATGAGTTGTTGATAAACGCCGTATAATTTATATTCGTATATTTGAAATATATATTGAAATAATCATATAAATAAAATTGGATTTATATTTCCTTACTACATGCATATGAATATAAATACGATACATACACCAAAATAACGTTTTTTACAATTTTTGTCTGTCTGTCTGTTTGTTACGGCTAATCTCTGAAATGGCTGCACCGATTTTGACGATTTTTGTGTGCTAGACTACAGAAGCTGTCAAAGACAAATATTTATATAAATACTAAGTTATACCCGCATCTATGCCCGTGTGATAATTTAATTGACTGAAACAAAACTAAAATAAACAATATTTAAGTTGATTTTATTTACCTTTTCGTCTGCAACTGCTCGTCTGAAGAGTCTGACTCTTTCACCATGAGCTATCATGTGAGGAGTTTTTTGCACCAGAACCTAATTATCAAACAAAATATAAATATTGCATTACAAGAGAGAAATAAAATTAAAAACAAACTCTAATTAAAAATAGCCATGATCATGGAGGTTGAAACACTACCGAAATATAGGAAACTCAATAAAAATAAAACGTAATAAGATCCCGTGATTAACTAATTATATGCATAAATAGTGACTGCGTCAAGTTTAAAACGGTAGATAAAATCACAATGTTTTGAAAGGAACCCGCCCTGGATAGCATCACTCCTAAGACCCTCGGTAAAAGCAGAAAGCCGAGACAATGAGGCCAAGCTTACAAGACCCCAATCTCCACCTCTCTGAGAAGGTTGAAAATGTTCAGATTCATTAATACTAAAACTATTTAAAGTAATAAACACCACTGGCTGTACATTTACATGCTCATTCTTTCCTGCGTGAATGTATGTATAAAAACAGCTATTGTATCGTCCTCCACTACACCAGGCGACGGAGCGCAACCGATGGCGACAGCTGGTCGACAAGATAATGTAGAGTCACGATCCTCAGCAGTGAGGGAACGATTAAGAAGAAGAATCGTCCACCACTAACCCGCTAGCGCATACTGCTAGCGCAGGCGAATACATAATTTCTTTAAAAAATATAGAAGCTATTACACTGGTTTCAAATCGATTGAGAATAATAGTCACCTGCTGAGGTTTCTTGCCCTTCTCGAGATCAGCCATGAATTGTCCGTCGCGTATTTCCCGCACGAGCCAGTGGTTGGGTGGCGTGTACTGACGACGGCAGTCGCGCCTGTACAGCACCAGCAGCAACGTGTGCACCGAGTTGAATACCTCGTTGCTCTGGATGCTCTTTAGATCTGATACAAACATATTTTAAATTATTTATATACCTTTTAATTCACAATACAAAAGATCACACTTAAGGAGGTATAACGACCTCGCGGCATTTTCTACCAGTCAACTATAGGTGGTGCAGAAAATTATAATTAGCAGTGCAATACCAATATAATAGGAGAAAAACTTAACGTAAATATACAAAAAGGAATATATGCATACCAGTATATGTAGAGTATAAAAAGATAAAATGTGTATAATGTCGTTTGTGTGGATATCACTGCATCAAGCTGCATGGTTTATGCTATATATATATACATATGTAAGTAATTACAGTACAAGGAATTTGAAAGAGAGACATGACAGTACTTACCACCAACCAAGTGATACCATGAGCGATACATAGATCATAGGTTTATACACTATGGTAGGTTCTATGACAGATATATTTTTTGCCGACTATGACTGTACTAGGTGTACAATGTTAATGTTAAGACAGCGCTCAGAATTTACTTTAAAATATTTCTAATAATTCAGGATCAGGATAATAGTAAGAGCATATATATGTATTAAATATATCAAGTATCTAACTTAAATAATATACTCACCAAACAACTGCCCCATTATAGATTTATAGACAAACATGTTTAAAAACTGTGACATACTAATGAAGTCTTGCAATTTGAAGGGATCTTGTTGCTCATACATTTCCATATCATCGAGTATACTGAAAACAAAGAAATAAGATGATAGATAAGAATTTTTATTTGCATCTTAGTACACACATATAGGCTTAATTACAAATAGTATATAATATAGATTATTTAAAGTAATGCAAAAAAATATGTATAATATATGTATGTATTTACATTATCTTTAATTTAATTTCAAACACAATGTTTTACATTTTTTCGTTACCGTAACATATTCGTACATAAATACTAGAAATAATAATTATGAGCGCCAGATACTTACGTAACATAATGTGTCATACAATCAGCAAACAGTACTAGCATTTGAAACTCTGGTGCTGATGTTTTGGTATTTATAGCTAAGAGATCATGAAAAGCTTTCAGTCCACAATTTGGTCCTAATGTACAGAGGAACTGCCACAGAGAGTAAAGTATTTGGTCTTGATTGCATAGACCTGCAAATTAAAAAAACATAGGGACAATTAAAGTGTACGAAGGGATTATGGTGCAATGTATCAACGACGTCGACGTCGTGACGACCTCGGTGGTCTAGCGGTCTAGCACACCGCTTAACGACCGATGGTCGCGGGTCCGATTCCTCGCACGGCACAAACATTTGTATAATGAGTATGATTGCTGGTATCGGTCTGGGTGTTTTCTATGTATAATATGTATGTATTTATATAACACAAGCTTTAGCTAGCTTAACTTGGGTCTAGATGGCGCTGTGTGAATTGTCCGGAGATTATTATTATGAGATTATTAATGTATAATTTAATAATTACCTGTGAGTATATCTAATTTGACTTGTTTCATAGTCTGCAATGCAGTTTGGTACATAGAGCAAATCAGTGCAGCCTTTGTACAATCCGGAGAACCGAATTTCCTATAATTTTTATGTGAATTTGCTCTGAAAAAGAAAATATCATGAATACAATATCTAACAGGGAATATGTGAAGGGTGTAGTTGAATCTAGTTTGTTACATATACTAAAACATGAAATATATACATATATCATTGATGTTGATAAAAAGTCTGCTTGCCTTCCCCATCTTTTCTTTTCACCACTAGAATACCATTCCATTATTGTTCCATTTCGCATTTGTCCACGACAAGAAGTGCGAAATGGAAGCCATTATGTCAGTCAGTCCATCGCCACTTGTGCTGATCATTTTTATCAGTATGCCAGTCAATATCGCCCTCAACGTATGATCAATGTTCTTAACCCGATCTAGGCTTCGTGCGCCTGTCATTTATTTATGAATAGTTTGTTGCTATTTATCTATATTTAAAGAAGACTATATTATTTCTCATCATTACCTATTAGTTCTAGCCTCTATAGCTCTTCTTATAAAAGCGGCAGGGTTATGAGATTGCACCGGGGTGGAGGGTTGAGAAGGCCCCGCTCCCTCTTCTCCCGACACGCCCGAGTTCACCATCTCCTTCAGTGGTATCGCCAACAATTTCTTCAGTAGGGGAGCTCCCCACAACAGCGATAATTGCGTGCGAAGATTACCCATTGTGGGTGGTAAGTACACGTCGAAACCTTGTGAGAACCAGCCGAGAACTGGATGCCAGTTGCTGAGATTTCCCTTTTTACACACTACATACTGCTGACAGGAGTCCAGGAAGCGAGTCACAACTAACTGTTAGAGAAAAAATATACATGTTTTACAAACTCGTGATGATGACGATGACTGTTTCATTATTATCACATCTAACTTCAATACTTGGTTAGTTGCATCAATTATAAACATTAACCAACTAAAAAAGTAGCTTCTTATAATAGGTGTAGGTAACTTAACTATTAATTTGATTTATATCAAACTACCTATGCCTGTGGTTTCATCTGCATTAAATTTATGGCCTATGTTTTAGTATAAGCTACATTACTGTAAAGTTTCATTAAAATCCGTTCAGTTATTTTTGCATGAAAGAATTACAAACATCCATCTATACATCCATACTTACAAACTTTCGTGTTTATAATATTAATAGGATAATATACACGTAGAACAAACATACAATGTGGTTTAAAAAGAGAGGTTTGATATTGCATTGAGAATAGGGATACTTAAAAAATTACTATCTGATCTGATAAACATTGTTTTCCACAATTCTTAATATTTGAAATATAATATATAGGTATTGATAGGGATAAAAACTTTTAAGTTGACCTAAATTATAAGCAAATTTCATACAATGAAAAAGTAGTTTCAGTGTTTATTTATGACAAATACGGAGGTGGCGCGATATTCATAATATGTGTGTGTGTGTGTGTGTTCTACAATGTGTACTTATAGTATTCTTACCACAAAAGTAGGATAGTATGATTCTGGCAATGCATGTTCCCTCTCTGAATGTGCCAGTTGTATTAGGTTGCCGAGGAGGCAGAGGGCATAATTGCCCTCTAGTGTGTTGAACACGATTCGCATATTCTGATCCGTACTTAGAAATTCGAGGCACTTGTCAAACATTGAGAAGGAACGGAACGTCGTTACAGACTGTGGAGGATAGATATAGTACAATTAGTTCAAATAACATAAGTTAAATACACCCAAACCGATACAAGCAATCACACTCATTATTACACACGTTTGTACTGCGTAACTGAGGAATTGAACCCGCAACCATTGGAAATAAAGCAGTGTGCTAAACCGCTAGACCATCTATGCCATCAAAAGTAGGATTAGTAGAGAAAGGTATCCAAATCAACATTTGCAGAACAATGACGACCTCTGTGGGCTAGCGGTCTAGCATACCGCTTTACGACCGATGGTCACGGGTTCGATTCCTCGCACGGCACAAACATTCATGAGTATGATTGTTTGTATCGGTCTGGGTGTTTTCTATGTATAATATGTATGTATTTACAAAAAAAATATCTATGTATATGTATCAGTTATCTACTACCCATAACACAAGCTTTAGCTAGCTTAACTTAGGTCTAGATGGCGCTGTGTGAATTGTCCTGAGATTATTATTATTAATTATGAACAACCTGTACTATAAACATTTGAAACCAGGTGGTTTTTAATACCATTTCTTCTGAAAAATGTATTAATATGAAATCATGACGAATAAAACTGCTTAGCATGAGATGATTAATGATAGATCTATTTGTATGTAGTTACTTGAAAATGTTACACTCACCTCAGGCGATATTTGATGCATATGGAACACTAATGTGGGTACAGACAGTATCTGTATTATATACATTGTGAGTAGTTTCTCTGAAAACTGTGCAGACACTAACGGCCGCAGCGACAACGTCACTATCGCTGTCAAAGCTATGTTTTTGAGGCACACCTTCTCACGACAGAGGCCACGAAGAAGCAAGGACTGAAATTAATATTAATGTTTATTGAAAATAATCTCTTCAGGATAACATATGGAAGATTACTATGCTTCTATACATGGTATAAGACAAAACCGTAATTGTATTTATCTATTTAATTGAGGTCGATACTTGTAGTATACAAGGGCAGACACCTGTAAGTTAGGTTTTTATTTTTAGTTAATAGATAATGGCTTTAGCCTTAGTCCACCACTGCATGTATAATTATAACACTGTAATATACACTGTGTGAAGTCAAAATATGTCACTCTTAAAGTCTAGACTATTTTAAAATATAACAAGTTATATTCATATATACCTTCAAAGTCAAGTAATATCCTTTATGAAACAATGATCCCATAACATTAGCACACAGTTGCGTCATGCCTCCCCTCAATTTCTCCAAGTTCTTGAGTCTTGTCAATGCCCATGTGTTTGTAGCAGTAAAGGCTACTAATGTGTGAAGGTTAATGAGGATACTTTGCATGTCGACTGGTGACTCTGGTTTCAGCTCCTCAAGATACAGGCAGCATTTGTATAGGAGATCTTTAATGTGTGAGATCCAACTAATACTGAAACATGTTTAAACAATTATTAGAATTAAAAATTCATACTACAGTTTGGGACTTATTAATGTATTTAGCTAATAATTTTTCATGCTACACACCATGTCAACCAGGCTGACAAGAAGCGATTCTCACAATGTTTCAAATAACATTGAAATAAAAAAAAAACAAAAATCAAAATATTGTTTTTTATGTAGGTCTATTCATCAGTCAGTCAGTTTAGAGTGTTCTCAAGTTGAGAAGAATGAAGAAAGAATAAAAAAAAACAATAAATTCATGTAATTGTGTGTCATCTATACTATCATTATTAACTCAAAAGGAGGGCTGATACATACTATTCTTTACCTAAAAAAGAAGATGAATGTGAAATGATAGTGGTAATAGCTATTTGATATAAATATACTACAAACTGTGTTATGCATAGATACTGATTCATTACACTTTTTGCATTTTATAGGATAGGTGTGGCCAGTACAATATGTACCTCAAGAAATGTATGTATATAATACAAACTGACATGATGCGTAATAAATTGTGGTTACATGTCCTAAATTTAACACAACATGTAAAAACACTTCATACTAGCAGTGTAGATTTATTTTTATTATTATTAAATATTTTAAGTATGTACAATATGTACATACATGTACAATATGGACTTAAATTTTAAAATAGCTCATAGGTTTTATTTTTATAGAAATTAGGATTAAATAGAAACCATTTATAAATCACAGGCACTGTGGTATATATAAATCATTTAAATTTAAATAAATAGTGCACTCAAATGACTGCAGACTTGTATTGTCATTTACCAACCAATACAATTATAGTACACTTACTCATTCCTTGCATAATCAAGGAACAAAAAAATAGACTAATAACTAGTATGCTGAATTTAAATTTTTAATTAGTAGTATTTTCTACAGGTAGGAAAGTAGGCAGGTTGAACCATTATTCTGGTATCATAAATCTATTATTCCTAAATAATCTTCATAATTCTTTATTTAAATTTAAATAAGTATGCTATACAACTGCAGACTTCTTACCCATTAATCTAAATTAACTAGTACAAACTCATTTGAACTATAGTGATGTTAAAGTACCTTATTTCAAATTAGAAGTACAGCACGTAAGATATGGATGAAAGTATTCAAATAATTTATAATATGACTTATGTTTTAAGAATGAAATGGTAAATATATGTACATAAAGAAATGGCATACCTGTATTCTTTATTTAAAAACACTCCAACATATGATAATTTCACTGACTCTGAATGTAAACTCTGTACAATATATTTGCAGAGTTTTTCAAAGCGTTTCCTGTCTCGTTGTTGTTTGAATATGACAAAAAGGTGACATGTCACTCGGTACACATCCAGTGCTGGGAGCAGTTCCATGTGTTGTGTAGATTCTTCATGACTGCCATGTGGCTCTGGGAGAAGCTGATCGAAATCATTCCTAAAAAATATATTTATTCATCAGTCAACTAACATATTTATCAGATAATTGTTATATTTATATAATTTAAACTAAAAATTTCAAACATACTAAATATTTACAAACAATAGTCATTTAAAAAATAATGGTAAAGGAAATTTAAAGTAATTAAAAAATAAATTAATAAATTGAAGAAAAGAACCTTTGGGTTAAATATATATTGACAGTCACTGGCATTTTTTATTTTAATAGTGACTAAAATTTTGAATTAAGCAAATGTAAATAATTCAAATATATAAATTATCTCACAATTACAATTATACACTATTCAAACTAGGAAGACATTTTAGTAACAGTAAATTTTAATGCCCATAAAGAAAACCATTTAAGTTAATTCTAAGTGACTTTGCCACAATGGGCTAACTGTTCTCATTGTATCATCCTCCTCTAGTACTACTACTACTACTATTAGCACATACAGTTAGTGTAGTAGGCTGCACCATACCATTATCATCCATTCCAAAAAACACATCTTTTCACCAGCACTCTTACGGTCTTATTACAAAAAAATCTGTTAAAACTCAGACGAAACGTGGTCTAAATGGTTGTTGTTTAAACCATTCCTAAAGTTAATACTTGGGATAAACCTAACATTATTACGAATCCAGATCTAACAGAGGACTACTTAGTACTACAGTTAAATCGATCATTATGTATTCCATACAGAAATCAGTCACTCATGTCTGTCACCGTACAATTACGTTCCATTTTACCAGAAAACTGAAAAGATCAAAAATAATATTAGTTCACACATACATATACACATACATGTGTAAAAGTATATACTTGTTACTAATTTATAATTTTAATAGACTTGAATAATACTATAAACTGTGGAATAACTAAGGTATTAAAGTATATTTTGTACATTTCACATTGTCAGTAAGTTAGTAAAATATGTGCTATTTCTTGAAATATGTATATAATTGAAATATTAAAGAAATTTAAATCCTAAACAATAAACAGTCTTAATAGTCTATTACTACTTTTTCCAACTAAGAAGATAGCTTGAAAGTATACTGGTTGTTAGCACAAATCACTGCATAAACCATTTCACATTATTATAAAGATGTTGTTCAAAATATAATGTAAATAATTGTATTTTTACGTTGGAGTCAAATTACAGGTTACGGAAGCACAGAACCTCAGGAATAACAGCACAAGAACAATGATTTGGACTATTTGTGATGCCCATAGTAGTATTAATGTTCAAAAACATTGTTTACAACTTTTCATCGGGTACGCTTTTCATTTCTTTACCATATTAATACTATATAAGTACTCACAGTATAAGTTTAATGAATCGCTGCCTTGCAAGCCAGCCTCTAATGAGCCCTTGTATTTTCACAGCGGATTGTTCCCGTTTTTTCTCTAATGCCCGTTCCTCACGAGCCGCCTTTGTCTGTTCCAAAAACGTATCCTTGCTAGTTTGGGATTTTGAAAACATTTTGAAACGCAATAATTATTCAACACAACGGTATTAGCTTTATTTTTTCTGTTTGTATTGTCAAGACGATGAGATCCAATTCATATTATTACGTAGAATTATCGACCAAAAAGCATCAATTGCACAGTTTTCAGAATATAATTTTTAAAAACGGACACATTAAACCATCGTAATTACTTCACGTAAATTATTTCAGACAATATTTAATTTTTTACATGAAAACGAAAGCAATCAAGCCATTTTATTTTGACATTTGTGATAAAATGTTGCCATTATCTTTAGGTTTTAATTGACTGTAATATTTATTTGTTGCCTAGTTAATAGTACAAAATTTTACTACTTTATATTTAAAAAAATTAAAGCTAAAGATATTCTTGAAAGTAAATTTGATAAAATTATTTTGTCTGTATAATTATTAATAGGATATTCTAAGATTTATATTAAATATTACCACAAGGAATTTCTTTGACCGACATTCATAGAAATAGTCATCACTATTCGTCTCACTTATTCTAATGACAAATTATTGTTTACAACGTCATATCAAATCAAAAATGATTATTCATGTAGAACATTTTAGGCGCATAAGAACATCAAGTTGTTGTATTAGTATTTTTTCCCTACTGTCCAGTTCAATCTGTGGATTCAATTGAGAAGAACTGGCAAGAAATTTAATTAATTAATTTTTTTAAAGCCAGCATAACTGTCTTTGTCTTCTATGTCAATCATTATATTTATAAAAATCCCCTATATTAACTATTGCCATGCACGTTTTTCATTCAAGTAATAATTCAGCGAGGAATAGGACTTCTCAATAAATATCATTTGACAAAAGTGTTAAATTTATTTAAAGGTAATTCCAGAATATTCTTTCATGTCTTATTGTAAAATTTTATACCCATTCCCATAACAGACCTATTTACTTTTTTTAAATGACGGGTACCTACTTACCGTACTTATGTAGTAATTTAGTACTACATAAGTAGGTACGGACTCAAACAGTGTGTATGTTTGAGTGTAGGTATATATTGAGAAGTAAAGATGATAATAACTATATCCCTGTTTGAATTTCTCATAATGAGTCACAACTCTATGCATAGATAGACAATATTGTTAGAAAGTCATTGTTGTTAAAGTTCATTGTAATGAGCAATTTCATTCCTCTATCCTATAATTTTAGTAGGCACGATATTCTAATATTAAAAATCACTAACAAATGCAGTTTTAAGTGTCACAGAGACCATCTGACGGTAACTGGTAACTATCGCCTACATACATAGATACCTATATGCACTGTGCACTCCGGACATCACAATATATTGTAACGCCCGTGACCTACCTATAATATAACTCAGAGTACAAAGATACCTTTTCTCCTGTCAATTCATTGCCTAATCTCACACAACCGAAACATAGCTTAGGTACAAAGAAAGCTATATGGTGGCTAGATAAGACAGATGAATAATTACATTTGGTAAAAAGTCGTCTGTGTAACCGTGTTCATTCCGATACACCTCACATAAAGTAAAAAATGTACTTACTTTATGTGGGGTGTATCGGAATGAACACGGTTTCTAGGTGGAAACACATTTAGCCCGATCTGGTACATTATTAGCAATGGTACAGTTTTCATTACCAACAACCCTTTCCACTAAATAGGTATATCTACTATTAACTGGATATACTTATGTACTATTTCCGAACTAAATTATGGTAATATTTTGGTCATTGACTATCGCTTACATCTTCTTATATCTTTACCTACTTTAACTACATGCAAAACTAAGTTAAAATCAAATTATCTATTAATATTTATTAGGTAGATATTGTATAATAATGTACCTCTGTACTAGCAGCGGCAGGAAATTGAAGTAGAAATGAAAACACAAGTCGAGAAAACACAACATATAGGTACATCTAGATATTTCTTGAAGTAGGTTTACAGGTGATTGATGAAAGGATTATATCTATATAGAAATTAAATAAGAAACAATACTATACAAACTATGAGTTTCCCAAATCTGCTTAGATACTGTATAAATTTACCCACCATTTAATAAAAAATCTGGGAAAATGAAATTATGACATAATGGCAATGAAATAAGTATAAAATGATTTATTAATCAATTTTGAATATTCTCTATAAAGTAATGTTGTAAAAAATACATTAGGTATCATTATGTATTGCGGCATCATTTTATGTAGGTCCAGAACTAGTTTACTTCAAAAGATGCGACGAATACCTCCCACGAACATCGTAGCTAGTCCATTCAGCCACACCCATTTAACCTATCGGTACTCTATTATTTATTAGGATCGTTCAATCTATGGGCACGATTTCACGATCGTAAAATATGCAGATTGATCGGTGGTCAATCAATGTATAGCTTCGGTGGTCTAGTGGTTTTGCACACCGCTTTACTTTCGATGGTCGCGGGTTCGCTTCTTCGTACGGCACAAATATTTATATTCATGAGTATGATTGTTTGTGTCGGTCTGGGTGTTTTCTATATATACCTATTATGTATGTATTTTAAAAAAGAAATATCTATGTATTTACATCAGTAATACCCATAACACAAGCTTAGCTTCAAGAATCCAATTCCAAGAATATTATTATTATTATTATATATTTACCTAGGTAGGTATAGGTAGCTGTAGTTAGGACTAACTATATATGTTACGTATGATAGCCTATATCTTAGGAATTATCTATAAGCTAACGTATCTCTAGCCAGTTTACCTAAACAAGTGCACCTTTCAATATTCATAAAAAATACCATACTTTTGGCATCATACGGGTTGTAGGTAACCTATCTTTGTAATAAAAATTAAGGTTTCTCTTCTGTTATTATAAAATGTTCTGGAATTTTGGATAATTTCTTTGTTTTTAGTTGTTACAAATAATAAACATGGTATTCCTTCGTTGCAGCCGTAAAAAATATATAATTAAGAATAACCAAATTTAGGGCTATATTCATTCATGCAAATTTATTAATTTATTATATAAAATATATTAGTACATACCTGTGCACATAGCACTTACTTACAAACTTTCGCGTTTAGGTATAATATTCGTAAGACGTAAGATTACTGTTGAAGTTATATTATCAAATAAAGATAATTTTAATAAATTACTATTGGCAAAAAAAGAAAATACATAAATACAATAATATGTAGTCATGCATACCTACCTATATAAATGTAAATGTATGTAATAAATAGTTCTGTATGTCATTAAGCAAGCTTTATAGTAATATCCGGTGATTAGTTTATATAGTAATGAGTAAGCGAATGCCGAGACAATCGCAGAGATAGTGCGAGCAGTGATAACCTGATAACGTGGTGTTTGTAGCCAGAAGTCGAGTGTCAGACGGAGTGACGTGTCTAACGCAAATGCCATTGCAATGTTGCGACGGATTGACCGTAGGCTAGTACCTACTTACTGATAAGAATACCAATGATAACCCGAGAGCACAGCGCCGTATTAACATTAAGAAATCACAAAATATTTTTTAGTTTATTCAAAGTCTAAGTTTAATTGGGCATATGAATGAACTTGATGATGAAAATTGTTTGCAATGTGTTCATAATGTTATTGACAGCGGCAGATAAAGGGCGGTGAAGATTTGAAACCAGTTGAAGTTATATTTACAAGAGTACCTAGGTATATTAAAAGCAGGTGACTTGGTCCTGAATGAGAAGGTTATTTTCTCATCATCGTTACTATAGGCAACGGTTTTACCAAGCGATGTAACTAAAATCGCCGCACTTAAGTATCAGCATTTTGAAATAATTTGGTGCATGCCCCGAACTGCCTTAATCCGGCACTGGGAGTGCAATCTGTAGAATGCTACTAAATCATAACCGAAATAGAGCATGTAGGTACTTACAAAGTCGTCTGTGTGAGTGCCTCTGTCTCACCTTATCTTCCACCAAGCAGTTTTCTTTGTAATCTGTGTTCCAGTGAGATATGACTTAGCCGTTTACAAAGGCATGAACCTTATAGTTCTCAGGGCGGGCAATTTTGACAATTTTGAGCTATTTTGACGGCCTCAGTGGTCTAGTGGTGTAGCACACCGCCTTACTTACAATAGTCGCGGGTTCGATTCCTCGCACGGTTCAAACATTTGTATTCATGAGTATGATTGTTTGTATCGGGTGTTTTCTTTGAATAATATGTATGTATTTACGAAAACAATATATCTATGCATTTGTATTAGTTATCTAGTGCCCATAACACAAGCTTTAGCTAGCTTAACTTGGATCAAGATGGCGCTGTGTAAATTGCCCAGAGATTATTATTATTGTTTTCACTATTGTCGCATTTTCTCAGCAACACTTTGGGCTCGATGGTCTAGCTTTTTAGCACACTGCTTTATTACCTATGGTCGCAGGTTTGATTCCTCGCACAAAGTAAACTCAAATATTCAAAACTATTACAACTGTATTCAAAACTATGATTTACTATGAATATTATGTACCTACCTATGTATTTATAAAAAAATATATATCAGTACCCATAACAAGCTCTGCTTAGCATGGGACTAGGTAGCGCTGTGTGAATTGTCTTATTATTATAGTGTTGTTTATTTACAAATAAAAAATGTATTTAAGTATTTCTATCGGTGATCTAGTACCCACAGTACAAGCTCTGATAAGTTTGAACTACAGAGCGCAGTGTGAATACCTAGACTGTTATTATTATTTTCATCCATTTATACCATTTCATTGATCAGGTGCCCCACTAGCTTCTTTGTTATTACAGATATGTAGGTAAACTAACAATGCTATTGGCGAAGGTTATTAACTTGCATAGCACAATTCAATATGATCAGTAGGTACCTAACATGTAAAACTAACCGTTACCTAAATCTTCTTAAACTAAAACCTACATAAAGAAAATCAAGTATCTAACACTCTGAATGCAGTGTATGGAATACAATAGAAAGATGTCGTCTATACGGTGTATCTACTAATTTTACAAAAGAAACACTTGTGCCTTTATGCTTATTCCCTATCTGTTTCAGGTTCAGTAATCTTTTTTCTGGTTTAAAGAGTGAGATAATTATGTTATATTTACTTAACTATAAAGCTTGGGTAGGTACGGAACTTCGCAATCCGAAGAACCGATACATGAAAGACACCACCTAAAATGATATAAATACTACTTCGTATCAATGGTTGCGGTTACCATCCGTGAATACTTAATATAAACCTTCGCCAAAAGTACTTTAGAGTTTAAATTTCAATAATTATATTTTTATTAAGATACTTTATTTCCATAAAATGTGACGTATTTTTTTATGGTTACAATTAATGTGAGTGTGTTACATAATACCTACTTACATCAAATTCATATAGATACATGTACAAAGATGAAACTCTTTATTCTCTAGGACTGTACTTAGGTACTTCATACTAATCATCATAGGCGCAAAGCTACTTAGTGATGGCCAGACTATAAGTGTATAAATTATGGCGATCTATGTCAACTCATGTTATTTTTTCATAACAAATAATATTAGGTATTAAAAGAAATATCGTTTTACATATACAGGTACCAGTCAGATCACACACAACCTCCCAACTAGGATGGAGTCACTGTGCATATCTGCTATATATATATTTTTTAAAGATACTTCATTAGCTAAGTAGAATTACCTATCCGTATGACGGCTTTGGTGGCCTAGCGGTTTAGTCCACCTCCCTTACTTTCGACGGTCGCGGCTTCGATTCTGGGCACGGTACAAACATTTGTATTCATGAGTATGATTGTTTGGGTTTTTTCTATATATATATATTATTATATATATACTTACAAAAATAAATATTTCTGTTACGAGTATATACGATATATTAATTTGTTATTTAATATATAATTTTAATGTCAAATACTTAAAATTATTAAGGCAATACAATTCTTCTGCAGATGAACATATTATTACCGAACGGTATGTTCCAACCCCAACAATTTCTATCAGTTGTGTACTACTGTAATACAAGCTCTGCTTAGCTTAAGACTAGGCGCTATTGTATGAATTGTTCAGGGTTATTAATATTAGGGACCTACATGTAGGACCTATATATACAAAGTTCCATATATTTTCCTTACCCATTAAAACGGGAAACTGACTGTTATAACTCTTTTTTAAGTATTTACCATCATCGAAGAGTACGTCAGATGTAGCCGGGTTTTAAATACCTACCTTGCAATCCGTCTTTATTTATATTAATTTTAATAGACGCTACACATTTTTCTACCTCATTGATAGTATTATAATTAATTAGATATCGTACCATGTTCGCACTCGTGTTCTCAATAGAACATGAAATATAGCGAAGGTGATATTATAATAATATGACATATCAACCCACCTGTAGCTTTAGTATTCATGCTAATAAGTAGACGATGTTCCATCCATAAAAACAATGGGCAACATCGATACCTGCGCCTACGCAAGAATTCGAATGTCAATCGTAACAAAATCCGATCATCTGTCAAAGGCGAGGGCGGGCGGAAAGTTTTGGGAAAGCGCGCTTTGTTGCGCAGGCTTCACTACTGGCCGCCATTAGTGAAGCGGCGACCAATAGAACGCGAGGGGCGTGGACATGCGCACGCGCCGCCCGAACTGCAAAGTAGATTCAGTGCAAACGCAGCTGTCGTGTAGTATTCACGTCATATCTTGCCTTCGTTCGCTTTGTTTTTAATTATGAACTTTTTGTACGAGTGTATATACCGTTTCGTTTGATGTGCTTTTGTTTAATGTAGTTCTCTTTAGGACTTGTAAGGAAAATGTTATTGTGAAGTGACATTGACTGTGGTTTTTGTATTTGTTTTGTGTGACTGTTCGTTGAATTGACAAAATGATGATGGATCAGGCTCACTTTGGGGAGTATTTGCTGAGACAGCAGATGTTGCATGCAGCGTCCCTAAGCGGATTGCGTAAGTCGACGTTATTACATATTATTATTATTACTATTAAATTAATTTGGTAAAAATGTAATAAAAAAAGAAAGTTCCTAATACCAATTGGAAATTATCAATGTTCCTTTAAAATATATTCTATATATATTTACAGTATGTATTAGTAATTTTTCATGCTTTGTTATTAGAGATATAGAAAATTATTAGGTATCTTCCCTTGTTCCTTATTTACAAGTATATATGGTACCCATAAAATTTAACTTAAAGTTACTGTCATCTGACTAATCGACGACTCCTCTAAATCATTTAATACTTGACATTCCTTTCACACTGCTTTTATTATGCATACCTAATTGCGTGCGTTAAATTACATATTTAGATAAAAAGGTATCCGAATAAACGTTTTATATTATCTACATAAGTAATTTAACTTAATATTAATACATATGTAGGTACATACCTAACTATCTAAATAAATTAAAATAATATAATTGGTAACAAATTAATCGTTTACTTAAGACATCATAAGCGCGTTGATGTCTTTTCTAGGTATACGTGACTGATTGATAAAAAAATGTATTGTTATTTGAAATAAATAAGTAAAGTTACATCTGATAATAAAAAAATATAGTTATGTGAGCAATTATATTAGTCAAAATATTGCTACTTTATTTGAAATATTCATAATGAGTGAGTTATTATATTTAGAAAGTACGGTTCTAAATATAAGGTACAGTCTCGCCTGATTGAATTGGTATAATAATACCTAAATAAATCTTTAATCTTAATAAGTTATAGATAATAGGAATCTTACTCAACGCAGCTTTCAAACAAAAAGAACCGCATCAAAATCGGTACAATTGTTTATGAGCTTTGAGCTCTTTTTAGTCGGTGTTTAAAAATATGTGACCAAAAAAAGGATATTAAAATACAAAGAGATCCAGGAACTATTTTTATATCTCTATTACAATTAATATGACGTGAACATTTTGATTGGTGCCTCTTCAAATCTGGTGGACCGTCAATAGTTCTACCATAAACAGCGCTACAACTACATATGTCTACTTTAATATAAATATTTTAACCTTTAACCTCTCTGCTCCTCTTATCTTGTCGGCGCCAGTTTAGATTCTGATAATCGCGGTTTAGATTCCTCGCATGGTACAAATATCTGTATTCATGAGTATGACTATTTGTACGGGTGTTTACTAAGTGTATTACATATATTTCTACAAAGAAATGTATTTATGTATTTCTAACTGTTCTGTGATGGTGATGGATGGCAGATGGCACTATGTGAATCGTCAGGGAAATTATCTTCATTAAGAATAAAATGATAACATTTAGGACCCTCTATATTAAGATATGGTGATATAATGGCACATTATTATTATGAATTACTGTAGTCTGTCCTACATATCTGTGCCACTTGCTTTTTCAATTTTCTGATTTTCGTATGACCACACTATATGCACATTGTTGTTTATAATAGTTGTTTCATATAATATATAGCACCTAAGTAACTTAGGTACTATTTCTTTTATGAAATAACAAGCACCACAGCGAAGAAAATATTTAACTGTCATTTGTATATATTTAACATGACCAGTAGATATGACAAAATAGAATAATAATCTTGGCCAACCATTAAACCACTATACCTCTCATGCGTTACCATTCTTAGGAACCAAGTTATTTGTAACTGTAAATATTAATTATTTATAGTTACAAATAACTTATTAACAAGTAGATATATCGCATCATTTAAATCACGACATAGTTTGAAATGCAGGTATCTATCGGCAAATATTAGATGATCTATCTCTTATCGCAGACAAATTTGTAAAAAGTCTTTCTCTGGTCTAAATTAAATTATATATAAGTACAAGTGGACCCGGACTAGATGTCATACAGCTCGGTAAAGTAGTTCTACCTACCCGGTGCAATTGTATTTTCAAACCATTCCATGTAATTATACATACAAAAGTTAGTCAGAATTGGTTTATAAGGAGATAGGTGATAAACACAACTACAGAAGAATTATATATATCTATAACGAATTTACTGCATAGGTATCTATATGATGTTAACACGTAATTGTTTATAGAATGCACACGCAGCTGTAAACCAACGCAAAACAATGAACTATGTAAAAATACTAGCTGACCCGCCGAACGTTATTTTGTCATATAAATTTATTAATTTATTTTTAAAATAGCAATATTTCGCTATTTAAAAAATAGGGGTTGTTGGTAGAAGGTAAAAATGTAAGATTGCATGTATATTTTAATGATCCTCATCATAAAAAATAAAATAAAACGTCTATCCATAAAATAAAAAAACAATAATTTAACGTATCACCTCGTAGGGATATAAAAAATAGATAATAATCAACAAATTAAAAAACTATTCTAAAAAATATAAACTTAAAAATAAAAAGTAGTACCTATATAAACGGAATTCTCGGCGGTTGACCAACCAATGACATTAACATTATTTTTAATTTTTATAATTCTTTAACAATTTTTAAAGTACCCATATTGTAATCGGGTGACAAATAATTAATAGATAGTTAACATAACTATTGTAGAAGGTATTGATTACACTTTTCGACGCCAGTACTTAATTGTTAACATAAAATGTATTTATCTGTCTCTTCTAATTATGATCGATCCATTTAAAGACAATACAGTTGGTCATTAGGTTATGGCTTTGAGTAGATTGTAATATTTAGTTATCTTTGTTACTTAATAGGTAATTGGATTAACCATTATCATATCATAGTAAATAGAGAAACTTAAACCATAATTGCCTTGATAATTGTGTAGAGAATTAAAAACTTTATGCGTAGATAGTGTTTTGTTACTACTTTTATACAAATATTATATATTAAAATATGTTACTGTTTTATATTATGTAATACCATTATATTTTATTTCAGTATATTTAGTCTATACGTCTTACCTATTTGATTAAGTATGCAGGTATAGTAGTACGGAACTTAATCATATTACACAATAAAACATAATATAATGTTAGGGCACTTGAGATGGTACGAAGAATATATGAAAACTATTATTGAGGAAAAGATAGAAGGAAACAGTGGGAGAGGAAGATTAAGGAGCAAATTAAAGACAGAAGTCTTGGAGTCGTAACGTATCAAGATTTAAAGAGTATAATGGAAGATCGTAGAAAGTGGTAAGAGCTCCAACGACAAGAGCGTCGCTCTTAAAGAATGAATGAATGAAATGAATAATATAATATAGCTGCCCATCTCGGTTTCTCACGAGTATAAATGTATTATACATATAAAACTTTCTCTTGAACCACTCTATCTAGTGCTAAAAAAACTGCAATAAAATCGAACAGACACCCCTGTCTGTCGCTTCCCAAAGCGACTTAATTTTTTACTATGTAAAGATATGTTGTTCATGATTTCATATATTTATAAAAAAAAGTATTTGTATCAGTTTTCTGGTGCCCATAACACAAGCACCTTTTATCTTGGCTTCATTATTATTAGGTATCCAAAATAATCATTAGCTAATGAAGTTACACAAAAAGGTGCTAATATTTTTAATAAAATAAATCTACCTAAGTTGAAATTATTTCAAATATCAGCGCAAACTTTAGAAGCGAATGGCCATTTCTGATCGCATTGGTATTCCGTTATCTCAACATTAACGTTAAATGCAAAGATTTATGTTAAAGTTTGAATATGAATAAATTGCACCGGCTCTTTTGATCGTTCGCTTCGTATAAGACAGCCAGAATCAATAAAATCATAGGAAACCATAAAATACCAATATTTATACGTCGGCGGAAACAAGACGTAGTATGTGTCTCGTTTACATGTCACCGAAAATCATCAACTGTCAAATTTAATACCAATCTTAAAGACGATAAGTCGATTAGTTTTTAATATTTTATTCAACTATCTTAACTGACTATGCTGCACTATATATACCTATACGTATACTAAGTTTTAATCGGTAGATCTTGTCTCATTGTTATAATATCAATACATGATGGCTGAAACAATTTAAAAAATTAAACTTAACAAATGTACCCGTTTCTTGCAAGTCTTACTCAAATGAACTAGTTTAAAGTAGCTGATCTAGTTGGTAGGAATATTGATAAAAAATATGACTTCCATATGCCAGTCATATTGGTATAAGAGACTTCCTACCTGGAAGTGTCTTCTATAAATAAGTAATCCTAAGTTAGATTATGATATACAATATTTATATTTACATAAATATGTTAATTTATATACAATATCGGCGAACTGGCCTGATTTTGCACGGGGACAATTACAATTTAAAGAGACACATATTTTTATTAAATGAAATGCAGTCCTTTTTGTTACCCAACATACATAAATATTATAATGTAATTCTCCATTATTATTTCTTTATGTTGTGTATTGGGAGTCCCCCGTAAATACGTACTTCGGTAATTATTTGGTATAACTTCAGTCAATGATTTTTATTATTGTTATTTCCACAGATTACAGTTACTTAATGATAATATAATACATAATAATAAGAATCTGTTAATTCATGACAATATAATTACGCTCTTTTGGCAACAAATTAATTCAAAGTATTTATTTGTTTATGAATAAATATTACGTTAGTTTTAAAACTTAGTGTTTACTTTAGTGGTACATATTATTAATATAAGTAGTTAACAGGGTATCAACCTCTCTCGAGATACCAACTAGGTTGCACTAAACTTGGAAAGGTAAATACAGCATGATGAAAAGTATATTTATATGTTACTTTTATTTACCATTAAATTATTCGTGTTAAGACACATTAACTATAGTTCATATATGCTTTTTGTTCAGAACACCGCGTGGGCGCGGACGCAGAGCCGCCGGCGTGCGAGGCGCGGCTACTCAATGGAGATCTGTGGAGACGGTTCCACGACATTGGTACCGAGATGATCATCACCAAAGGTGGACGGTAAGTAGTATCACACTCAATTATAGTAATAACAATATTTCTCATTATTCTTAATGTACGTTTTTGTTTTTTATACCATATCAATGAGGTGAAAAACCAATATAAGTTACTTCTGATGGTAAACGGTAAAAATGCAATTTTTATACGTTTAAATTAAAAAAATATAGATTAAAATTTGATAGTGCTTACATTATATTTTAAATGACCGTTACTATAATGTAACTAATATAAAATACACTTAAAATATGAAGAAAATAATATTACATATATTTTAATGGTGGTAAATTTCAAATATGTATGCTTTTAAAGTAATAATTTCATGCTGTTAACAACCACAGATATATAAAATGATAACTAAATTATAATTTTATGCGCTCTGTTAATTGTTTTAAAATGGGTGCGAAAAAAACCACTAACAGCTTTAAGAAAAAAAATACCAGTTCTGCTAAGTAGTTAGGGTTATGTTTAGCCAAGCTTGACGGAATATTATCAATGTTTGAAACGATATAACACTTTATTAAGTAGGTAGGTTGTCTCTATATAATTAGATTAACGCATGATATACTGATAAAAATGCTGCTATTTGAGAAGAACAAATTATTACTAACGGATTTTGAAAACAATAATTGACAGAATTTAGTCTATGCGTTTGTCTCTCTGTTCTGATCTGTCTGTTAATATTCACTTATAATTTAGAGATTACCTATTTCAATGGGTTTACAAACAAAAATCTTTTAGGGGCACAAAGTTACGGGTTCAACTGACATAAAATTATAAAAGAGTAGGATATTTTGTATACTTTCTAGATATATTACTGAAATAAAAAAATGATTAGTATTTTTCTATATTTGTCTGTATTTGAATGCTACATATATGTATATGTACAATGTACATACATGCTAATCATTTAGACTGCGAGTTTTCACTGATGTAATCTTGTAACTTATTAGTGAATGTTTTATTACTTTTGTTTAACGTTTACGTTAATTTAACAGTATTCTTTTATTATTCTGATTATACTGTATTTAGAACAATAATAGAGTGTTAGTAATAATAATAATGAGAAAACTGTGCCCACAGCTAGTATGAAATAAAATCCCTGTTACGTTTTTTGTTTCCTTACAACTTCTACTAAAATACGCAACGTATTTAGATATGGTATTCACAGTCTTTTGGACATTGTTAAGAAGGGATTGTGAGTTCAGTAAGACTAATAACGGAGTATATACAATACCTATTTAATAATTGTTTGTATTGAACAATAGCCAAAAGACAGAGTGTTAAATCTATTCAATCTACAGTGATACAGAACTGGAAACTTCTTTCTCTATGAACAAACATTTATATCTTATGTTTAATAAATTTATAAAACTAAGTTTATACACTTATTTTCTGAGTGGTACAGTAAATTAAAGGTTGCAGCTGTCGCAATTCCAGACGAATTTATGAAGACATACCATGTTCTGCTCATAAATTATAACAAAAACTTAACGAAAACCCATTAGGGCTGCCGAATCTGACGCGGGGCTTGTTAACGGATAATTTGGGTGCCGGCCGGACCTCCGTCATAGACAAAACAAACAGCTGCCAGGACGGCAATTTGTGCATTTCTCTAAATGGCCGAGCACAAATTACACCTTATTATAAGCTTGTTTGCTTTACGACGAAACCCCTTCAATTATTTTTTTTCTTGATCGATAATGTGTAGCGAGCAGTGAAGAAATTACACAGTCGTCGCGATCTCGGCGCCTCCGCCCTTCCTGCGTGCGCGCTACGGCCGAGCCGAGCACGGCGGCCCACCACGCCTGGCCTGGGCCCTGATACATAATTATGAGCCAACCTATTCATCTCGTCATTAGCAGATGACGACTCGTCGCACGCACGTACCGAAGAAAGTTCCATCAATAAATATCACGTTGGACGACATTATTCAGTAATTAATGCTGTGTAATTAGCTCTCGGGAGCCGTTTCGAGTCGACATTCGGCGTTCACTCACTTGTTAAAGTTACACGTAAAAAAATCAGTACCCCTGTATTCGAATTCGAATAACTGGTGCGGTACATTTGTACGCCAACGTACAGTTCCAGGATTGGCTTTTTGCTCGGAGCATAATTAGCTAGTTTGGTTCGTATGTGCTTCTGTCATCTCCTACACGCTTTTTTTGGCGCGGCCGCCGGCGCGCTTCGCAGACCACCGCGCGGCCGTCCGGTTAACATTCCAATAATTTACCGCTTTATCCAGCGGTTGGTGAATCTCGTTAGTTGGCTGCGCCCGTCTAGAGGTCACTTTTGTTTGTTTTGTATTAATGATGCCGTGTGAGAGAGGCCGGGGGCGCGCCGGCGCCGCGTAGGCCCTGGCGCCATGCCCGCCGAAATGGGTCAAAAATATTTCATTTATTTCTCGTATTGAATACTAGTCGATGTGCGTGCTTGCTGTAATTGAGTTGTTCGAAACATTATGTCCAGTCCTCAAAATACACGCCATATATCACAAATTGGAGATGTAACGCAATGCTTTTAAGATATGTTTGGACAGGCAGTTAAAAGTAATTGCTGTAAGTTCTTTATCCAAAATGTTCGCGTAGTGGGGCTGAGTTTGGTGCGTACCTAAATGGAAAGTGCAAACAAATGGATTTGGGCGGTTCGTTTGTGCAAGCAGGCCTGAGCGGGGAGCATCGTCGGAGTTAACACCTGCCGCACTCGGCAGCCATGCGCTTGCTTTATGTGTTAGTCGAGGATTTGTGGCAACAGCCTTCACAATTTTCTCACCTGTGCACACTTGTAAATTGACTGGAATATAGCACCTAGGTGCCTATGCATCGCATATACATATGTATAGTCTTTATGTTTTCTCTAAATTTTTTACATTTAAAATGTAACTAAATAGGTATAGTTTTAACAAATCTAAGTCCAGAGATTATGTATTTCAGATTAATTGTCATTAACTGGTAAACAGGATACTCGTAGAGCAGTTACGATAAGCTTACCTTACAAACTTACCTTCAAGTCCGGATATACGGTAGACATATCTAATTTAAGAAGTATATTAAGGTATTATTTAATAATACACATTAGGTCCTTATTTAGTAAATTCAATTTCTTTCCGCAGTAATTTGTGTTTATTTGGTTTTGTGTCCCCATTGTAACGACAAAAAAAAATCTTAAAACTGTGACATACTCCATCTGTTCAAGTCCATATCCATAGATAATACTTAACCCTCAATAATCTTACAACAAACAAACACTGGTTAGAGTAGAGTAGGTTATTTATTTTTTCTCAAAACCGAAATATGACAAATGGGCGAGGCGCGCCAGCGCACATCGCTCGCGTGTCGTCGCGCGGACCTCCCGCCATTTTAAAAACAAACACACCACACAAAAACTCGTTATTTATTCTCATGTTATCCGAAGGGAAGGGCGCGCCCAAATTCGCTTGAAAAAATCATAAGTTATAATTAAAAACGACCATTCCCGTAGTACAGACTCGCGCAAGCTCTACCATTCAGTCCATTGAAATGATAACTGCGTCTTTATCTCATCCACGATTCAAATTGCGTTCAGTGAATGTTAATTTATCGCTGTCTATGATTTTTAATGAGATAAATTCATAATCGCATGTCAAATCTTGACTCTATGAATTCATATCACACAAACGAGCCGTATGCTCGTCCCGGCGCTTGTTTTAACAGAAATACCGATTAATTGATTCGATCTGTGTCGTAATTAAAATGGGTGATTAGGGCGCGGGGAGCGGCGCCGGCGCCTCAAAGCGTCGCCGGCAACATTCCTTTTGTTTTACCACGGGTCGTTTGTCGCCTGCGTGCTGCGTGGGCATCTTGGCGTCCCTCTCTGTCGGATGAGTGAAGAGGCGCGTGCGAGCAGAAGATGCGCGGGCGCCGACCTCCTGCAGCGCCGCCGGCCGCCCGCCGCGCGCCCCGCCCAGCGCACGCAGTACTAATAATCAGATTATGACAGCGCGCTGTCTTCCAGCCGGTCTATAGGCCATATCGACTCCACTCGTCACCCTTCACTGTGTCGGGAATGCTTGACATCAGAATTTCATGTTACTCAGCGCTGAGGCAGCACTATCTGATAGAAGAATGTCATTTCTTTCAGTTCTCTAGGGCCTGTTCATTTTTGACAGAACTTTTGAAAACATATAGATACTCTGTATGTTGTCTACCTATTCATTTATCAAATGGCAAAACCACTAAATGTTAAAATTTTATTAAAGAAGGTACTTATAATCAATAATAAAATTCAAATGTAAAATATAATTTAAAATTGAACTTCTTAAATGTAATTATTACAAAGATAATGAAATATAAAGTAAATGTAGCTTACAGTTTTCTTTAATCATGAACAAAATCAGAACAGATTTAATAAGTTTCTATCGAAAAATTTTGATTCCTTATAAAATTATAGGGTTTGTAAGCAATTGTGATCTTGGTCATCAAGTAGTAGCGCAGCCATAAACAGCAACTTAAAACTAAGTACCAATCTATAAAATAACATTGTTTGTACAACTTAACATTAATAGAAAACGTTCAATGTAATGACGGCCTAGATGAAATTGTAGAATTTTCGATGGTTAAAAAGCGTAACGTCATTTCTTGTAATGGGTAATTCCGAATAAAAAAGCCAATGGGTTCGGTCGCTGGGAATCCGAAGCACGCGCCGGATGGTCGCCGTCACGATCATATCGCAATATCTCCAGGGAATGCTCCACACTGTGTATAATTTGTCACAGGATTGTGGACAAAGCGTATTCCATTGCTGTTATCAAACAAGCTGACTTAACAATATTCACGCTACGCCCAGCAATGTATACATTATAGTGAGAGATTTCCTTCAATTCCCCAATGAGTTCCGAGTAGCGCGACTGACTGAATCGCGGAGTCATTGCCGGCTCCTGCGCCTTTTTGCTCCGCCGTATCCTAAAACAATCGACAACTCTAGAAAAAGACAAACCCGAAGCCAATCATTCGAATTAAGGCATT